AATGGCAAATAGGGAAAATAAGTGTCGGAACAGAACAGTAAAGTAAGAGAAAACGCAAATAGGGAAAATAAGTGTCGGAACAGAACAGTAAAGTAAGAGAAAACATCAGAAGGAAGTGTAAAAAAAAAACAGACTCAACAGCCAATGTCAAACAAACGTCAGAAATAATAGCCAGTAACAGTAGTATAGGAGCGAAGAGAGAAAAAAATTCAGAACAAAATCAATAAAGAACAGCCAATGGCAAACAATATCATAAGAGCTAGCAGGGAAATAAAATAAATGCCAGAAAACATCAATAAAGAACAGCAGAGCAAGACAAAACAGCCAATGGCAAACAAAAATAAGAAGGAAGAGACAAAAAAACCCAGCAAAGTAATAAAGAGCAGCCAATGGCGAACAAAAGGAACAGCAAATAAAAAAGTAACATACAAACTAAAGAAACACGTGTCAGAAGGAAGTGAAAAAAGGAACAGCAGAGTAAGAGAACAAATAAGAAACCCATAAGCAAAAGTCAACAAAGAACAGCAATATGAATCGAGAGTATGAAGGTAAAGCAAGAACACACAGCAGATTAAGAGAGCTTTCATGCTGGGCATGTTTGACGGAATCCTTGGTTCTGTGAAATCAGTTTTTGATTTTGATTTCTTTTTTCCCAAATTCTGTTTTCCATCTTCATTTTCTAGATTCAGTTTAATGGATTAATTAAATTTTTATTTAAAAAAATGAATTAAACAATTTATTAAACGTTTAACAATGATAGTGCCACAAGAAATGTTTTTTTTTTTCTTCAGAAAATCTGTTGTGTATGTTTAAATTTTTTGTTCAACGCGTGTCGGAAACGAAACGCCCATTGCCATGACAGAATGACAGCCATGGAGACTGGTCAATACATAGAAAAGATGGTATCGATTGTACCTTACCAATTCGAGCCGGAGTCTGATGATGAAACGGTTGAACTGGCTGATCGACAAGAGACTGATTCGCAAGCACGACTGGAGCAGGACGTTTCTCAGTGGTAAGTGTCAAGCAAGAAAAAGTTTGTGGTAATTATAAAATGTGGTAACATAAATTTACTCTCACAGCGTAGGATACAGCTCAAGTGTTAACAAGTTTGTGGTAATTATAAGATGCGATAAAACAAATTTACTCTCACAGCGTAGGATACAGCGTCTTCTCGACAAGATGTTAACCACACGGAAATTTTACTGTGTTTGTGGGCAGGCAAGTTGGTGACGTAGAACGTGGGCAGACATTATGCAAATGTGTTACTTCATGACGTAGAGCCATAACAGAATAAGATTCGAATTCCTGACGACTCGTTTAGGCGATTGCAAGCCGACTCCTTTTTTTGATAGACAATAACTTTATTTATCATGCACTGTCGGCGATTCTGATGTGTTTTCCGCATCACGGAAATCATAGGGCCCTAAATTCACAGCAGAACAACGATAAATGGAGGCTCTTTAGTGACAGTCAACTTATGAGACGATGTGAAGATATAAGCAAAAACACCCCAAACAAACACATTCTCGATTGTGATACTCACAGGAGTGTGTGGGTGTGCACAAAGCCCGTGTGCATTCTGGGAAGGCACAGATGACGCTAGCCCTGTTTGGGGGCCTCCAGCGGCTCCGCCCCCGTGCGACTGCTGCTGTAGCGGAGCCATCGGGGGCAGCTGCGTTGAAGGTGGGGCCATAGTGGTTGAAGAAGTGGGTGTGTGGGGCTGGGGGGTCTGGTTACCTGGAAACTGCGGGGGCGTTTGGTGCGGGGCAGGGGTAGGGGTGAGGCTGCGTGCAGGAGAAGGGGAGTTTTGGCGTAAGGGAGGACAGTGCGTGTGCAATCCGGGCTGCGGAGCAGGTGGGGCGAGGTTGGACGGAGGCCCCTGAGGGCCGACAGCGGCTCCGGAGCCAGAGACTGCTGCCTGGGTTTGAGCTACTGGACTACTGACTGCCAGCGATGGTGGAGTGGGCATCTGATTCTAAAAGAGAAAGACAACAAACAAATGAGACTTAGCTGGGTGGTATTACTATACATCGAGGGCTGGGCGATGCATTCAATATTTACAACATATTCCTGATAGTTTTGTTGGTTTTGTAACACTACGCATTGTGAATACTGCAGTGATCTTAAGTTTGTTATGTTTCCTATTTCTGTCCATTTCAAAGAATCTGTTCAACTGATTCAGCAATTCACTTGAGCAAATTCTTACAGCATTAATGTGGCTAAACATTATGCTAAATGTTATGCTTAAATCTCATTAAAACAGTACTTTTACTAAAATTGTGCATTTTAGTCATTCATATTCATTCACATTAGTCATTCATATTGTCTTTCACAATCCACAAGTTTCCTACGCCCCATGAGGCCTTGCGTCAAAAGTGGGAGCGTCTTCCGGTTCGAAGTAAACAAGCGGGACGTGACACTCATTCATTCAACAGTTGACAGTCAGTCATTCAAGATTTAGCGATCCAAACTTGCTAACGATGTGAAAACACAACTTCAACAAACTTAAAAAGGGTGAAATAACAGTACCTTTACCCTCCTCGGTAGATGGTTGGGACGATGGCCTCATATCACGTACGGTAGCATTTTTAGCTATTTTGTAGATTCAGTAACTTAGCCTGTGATGGTAAGGCGATGAACAATTTGAAAAGCTCAGAGGCGTATCAGTATCTACCGATAAAGTCGGTCGGGTGTTATTTAAGGATGTCGGAAACGACCTTATGATTCTGAAAGCAGACATTGAGCCGATCCAGAGCCTACACGTATCACATCATAAGACTTGGGTGCTAGCGTCAGTGACAGATAACATCATGTATTGCAGGGCCAGGACGCTCTTGTAGTCATGCAGCAGCACTTTTGTGGAAGGTCAGTCAAGTAAGGACAATTAAGGGCACGACAATTGTTTATTGTATTGTGATATTATTAATTAACTAATAAATGTACTAAACTGAAATGTTTACTGTGTGTCATTCATGTTCTGCATATGTTGCTTCACAGTAGCCCTCACTTAAAATCTTTAGTCTAAGATTGTTGGATGATAAAAATTAGCACACAAAGTACTAGGGATGCACCGAAATGAAAATTCTAGGCCGAAAACGAAAATTCTGGATGCACTTGGCTGAAAACCGAAACCGAAAATGCTTTGTAATAATTAATTATTATTTTATTAAATAATATAAAGTAATTTTGTAAGACTTTTAATGAAAATGACACAAAAAATTGGACAGAAAATATATTAATATTAAACATCAATATATTAAGTGGCCGAAATTTCGGTGCATCCCTATAAAATACCATTGGTACATACTACTTCCGCCACCTCACCGGAAGTTGTACCCAAGTTCTTTTTTACAGTAGCGCCTCCTGTAAACAGGTGGATAGATCACAACAGAAAAACTCTTTTAGCCACCAAAAGACAAATCATATTAGACGCATTAGAGACAACAAGCTGTACTGAGTAATATGGTAAGAATGTGTTTTAATAGCTGACCTGTGGCATGGCTCCTTGCCCCGCAGGTTGGTTCAGGCCGACCGCTCCCTGGCCCAGTCCGGCACCCGTGCCTGGAAACTGGTTCTGCATGTACTGGTTTTGTAATTGGGGTACGTTGGGTTGAGTCATTCGAGGTGTTCCCTGCATACCCATCTAAAAATACACAATAAAGACTCAAAATAAACACTTAATCAGTTAAATTATTTGCCCCTCTTTAGGTCACCGGTAATTTTACCTGATTGAGGTTTGCTCCCATAGGCAGGGGTGGCGTTGCCCTTTGTCCCATTGGCTGTTGCATCCCCACCTGGGCAAACTGATTCATACCTGCACAAAAGTTACAAAACAAAAACAAAACACAAAAACAGTGATTTATTTATAGATGTTCAAAAAAACTGCTTCAACTTCAGACCATTTAGTGAGTGTGCCATACCAGCAGGATTCTGCATGCGGTTGACCATCTGATTGGGTCCAGCAGCTTGAACTAAGGACGGATCTGAATGGGGACCATCTACGAAAGACCAGAACATCCATCACAAACAGCATCATCTGATTTAACTGTGTGTGTTTGTACTGTAATACATGGTTTACATTTAAAGGAACAGTTCAACAATGGATCCTCTGCAGTGAATGGGTGCCGTCAGAATGAGAGTCCAAACCAGCTGATAAAAACATCACAATAAGTCACAAGTAAACCACATAACTAAAAACTGTGTGTTTATAATAAACAAATCCATTAAGACATTTTTAACTTTAAACCTGCAAACAGGAACAAGTTTACTACATAGAAATTTCCTGCCGGCACGTAACGTGCGGAGCGTCACAGTGACAGCGGCTTGAGGGAGAGTGAAACCTGCGTGCTGAACACTGCTGGGCGGTGCAGCGCGCCATATATTTTCGGCCGTTTTTCTCTTTCGGCCGAAAACCGTAAAGGAACAGTTCAACAATGGATCCTCTGCAGTGAATGGGTGCCGTCAGAATGAGAGTCCAAACCAGCTGATAAAAACATCACAATAAGTCACAAGTAAACCACATAACTAAAAACTGTGTGTTTATAATAAACAAATCCATTAAGACATTTTTAACTTTAAACCGTTGCTTCCAGCTATGGACTCGTATTTTGGCCAGAAGCAACAGTTTATAGTTAAAACGCCTTAATGTTGGATTTGTTTCTTACAAACACACAGCTTTTCACTTCACAAGACGTTAATTGATGGACTGGAGTCATGTGGATTACTGTGATGTTTTTATCAGCTGTTCGGACTCTCATTCTGACGGCACCCATTCACTGCAGAGGATCCATTAGTGAGCAAGTGATGTAATACTAAATTTCTCCAAATCTGTTCCGATGAAGAAACAAACTCATCTACATCTTGGATGGGCCGAGAATGAGTGAATTTTTAGCAAAGTTTCATTTTTGGGTGAACCATTCCTTTAAGGTCAGTGTATGTGTACGTACTGGGCGGCTGTGCCTGATTCATGCCAGCTGGTGCTTGAGGTAGAGCACTGTTGGGCATGCCAGGCTGAGCTGGCATCATACCCTGCTTCTGTAGTCTGGTTCTCCTCTTCTCCTCCAGCTCCTTCTGAATCTTATAAATCTTCTCCGCCAAAAAGTGGTAATACTCCGCCTGGAAAAGATAAACAGGACTATCATTCTTACAATTCGTTTTAAACATTTACAATGTTTCGGTTCAAAGTGCTTTTCAAGCAGCTTTTAGTGAAGACAGAAAAATTAATGGACGTATCACGCCTGGTTAAGATGAGGTTTTCCAGCGCTCTGTCCAGCACTAGACTGTGACAGCTGCATCATGAGTAAAATGTGAGGAATCAAGTGATTCTGTGGATTCACTTAGATATTTACCAAATATAATCCACAGACATGAGACTGTGCAAGCGTTTTCTTACCCTGCTGTTGGCGGATTCGTACATGTCGCCCTCCACTTTGCGAGCGTAAGCTACAAGGTTTTCCATCCGCCGATCCTTCAGTGCTGCAGGGTCTGGAGTGGGGAAGATAGCCTGCACACTACTCACACACACACACACACACACACACACACACACGACACGACACGACACGACACACACACGACACACACAAACACGACACATGTAACAGAGTGAGTTCACGAAATTAAACAGCACCCTATGTGTGACTTTCAAATTTTGTGTGATAAACTAGATAAGGATTTTAAATCGTTTTGTGGAGAGTGAGTTCACAAAGAGTAAATTCAATTAAATCAGTACTATTTCAGTATCACTGCGATTCTATTATAGTTTTTTTATTAATATTTTGAATTAGCTTTTATTTTAATAATTTGAATACATTTATTTTATTTGAATAAACTTTATTTTAAGTTTCAGTAATTTTGTGTTTTTAGTTTTTGTCTATACGTTTTTTACGAATTTTTATTTCTTTATGAAAATGGGAAATGTTGCCCTGATAGCTAGCTGAAATAAAATGTCGCATTTTGTATATTTTATTTCAGTTAACATTTATTTCATGTAACAATTTTTGTTTCAGTTTTAGTCATATAAAAACGGCTCTTATAAAAATATTTGAGTTACGTATAAATAGATATATTTGTAACTGTACACTATCCTTCAAAAATATAGTTTAAGAAATTAATACTTTTATTCAGCAAGGACACATTAAATGGATCAAAAGTAACAGTAAATACATTTATAATGTTACAAAAGATTTCTATGCTGTTTTTCTGGACTTTCTATTCTTTGAACGGTAATGTGTGTGTGTGTGTGTGTAAAAAATGACCAAAAGTCTTTCATTATCAATGAGAGGTGCTTTCTAGTGACAGGAGCAACAGTGACTGTTTTAGCGGGTCTTTATTAATTTTTATTAATTTATCATAAATGTAAAATTCCCAAACATGTTTCTACTCTTTCTACGTCTATTTCTAATAATAGATGTATAAACTGACAGGCAGGATAGGATAGACTGTTAGCATATCACTCACAGTTTGTGTACGAGGTGATTGCGGAGGTCCTGTGTGATGTCTTCATGCCAGTTCTTCCTCATTCCTGCAGAGGGAGGTGTGGCTGTCGCTGCAGAACCCATGCTACCAACACCAGAGCTGTCATTCATCAGACTGCAAGACAGAGAGACAAATCATCAAACATCAACATAAAGCTTTCACTGACCAATCCATTTAAACCAGACCTGGCCCACTGAGCCACAGTGATGTACAGTACCTCTGAGGAGTCATGTTCCTGTGCAGCATGCCGTCAGGCAGCATTCCTGGATGCTGGTTCGTTATTGGAGAGCCGACTCCACCGTTCACTCCCATTGAGTTCCCACCTGCTGGGGAACACAGTTTAAGACATTGCAGGCAAGACATTTTAAGGATGTGCACTAGCTGACCAGTTTTTAAACTAACTGAAAAAACACAAGATGCATGATTAATAACGAAATAAAAATTAAACTGTGACTTGGCATTGTGCATTTATCAAACTATCTAGCAGTAACACCTGTACACAAAGCAGCTCTGCACTCATAAAGACTACTTCGTCAGGCATTACAGGAAAGATGACATGATTCTAGTCTTTCACACTTGTCTTGTTCTACACAAACACTTAAAAAATACCATTAAATAACATTTGTGGATTTAGATTTGGCTTATGGAAACTCTCACCTATATTGTTGAGCGTCCTCATGCCGGGTTGAGCGGATACAGAGGTCTGCTGATTTTGACTGGATGCCTGGTTGCCCTGGTAGGTGAGTCCGAGGGCGGCGTACGCCCTTTCAATGGAACTTGGGTCAATCTGACTGGGTGGGTTTAAGTTTGGGGCTGAAGGCTGACCACCGGGTAATGACCCACCTAACGGACCACCCATGCCCATCCCAGCACCTCCCAGCAGAGCTAGAGAGAAAGATAACCAAAGGATGAAAGATTGAACATTACTTTTTAAATATTAGCATATGTTGATATTGTAGTATTTTAGTATAAAAGATGATAATGTCATAAGTCAATAGAATCCAGTGCCTTTCATTTCATGGGCGAAAACAGCTGAAACATTCTTCTAAATATCCGAGTAGCATTTGTGCGTATTAACTCACACTGCTGGTTTCTTTTGTCTCCGGCGCTTTTAAGCGGCAGGCAGACGGGACAGTCATGCCGTGTGCAGTTCTTCCAGTGAGAGATGATCTGCCTGGAGGATGCACAGTGAGCCACTGCAGAGGAACCACAAGCATTTGAGACACCATATCATCTTGTTTATGTGTGGGAAAATAAAATATGATTGAAAGAAGATAAATAGGCGGCAACGCTCACCCTGGCAGGATTTGCCGGCCTGACAGTGTGTCATGTGATTAAGGACGTTCTTCATGGTTCTGCAGTGGGGCAGGCTGCACTGGCGGACCTCTCCGTTGGCCTGCTCTCTGCGATGGCACTTATGAGCATGAAGTAACAGCACTAGCTGCTGCTGAATGAGTTTACGCTTCTCTGGGTCCGCTGCAGGGGGCGCCGCCGCCCCGCCTGGGCCCGATACGCCACCCACCACACCTGAGCTCTGCTAGAGACAGACAGAAAGAGGGTTTTCAAGGGTCAGGATTTCATGTTCCTGCTGCTGCAGAGTGTTGAGGATCAGAGAATTAGCTGGAGTTGACTGGAGTTTCCATTAGCAAAGATGGCAGCATACACGCAACCATTCAAGTTTGGGAACGGAAGGTTTTTTTTTTTTTTTTTTTTTTTTTCTATTTTTAAATGTAATTTATTCCTTTGATGGTAAAGCTGGATTTTCAGCATCATTACTCCAGTCTTCAGTGTCACATGATCCTTCAGAAATCATTCTGATATGCTGATTTGTGTTCAAGACACATTACTACCAATGTTGAAAACTGTGATATAAATGCAAACCTGCACACTTTTTTCAACATTTTAAGATTATGAATGTATAGAATCTGCAGAATAGTTCTAATATGGTAAAATGTGTTATTGAGAATACTTTAATCTTACTTGTAGCAAGAAAAGCAAATTAGCCAGAAATTATTTATACATTTTATTTAAACAACATTTATTCAAAACTAGGGATGGGACCAAAATGTTGTCTGTCGAAAGTATTCGCAAGAAACTGCAACTTTAACAGATCAGATAACTGTAACTTTGATATGGATGAATTTAAGCATGAAATTATTGGCATACTTTACTGGGAAGACCTTGCTGCTGCAAATACAAATAATTTTTATTGCATAATAATCAGCTTTAGAATGTTATTGTGTTCTGCACATAAATATGTCAGAAAAGCAAGAGCTGTGTCAAAGTTTATTCTAAAAATATAATTTTTTTGGGACTATTTTAGATATAAGGTCACACTAATCTACTTAAGTTGGTGTAATTGCTTATATACACATTAACTGGAGAAAAAACAAAAAAAAAGCATTTTGATTTTGTCTATCAGTCCAGTGAGTCCAGAATTTCCAGTAGCTAGTTTTCATTGCAGTGCATCACTATTGAAAGCACTTTCAAGATTAAAACTAAATGAAAATGGGGTTATTGATGTGTAGAATTTCATAAATAATGGGCTTTCAAATTGAGCAGAAATCTGGGGAAACAAATTGTGTGACTACCCATAAATAATCAATCCACAGGTTCTGTGTCTGTGGGATGAACCACTGGCTGAGCTCTGAGGGGAAATGATAACCGAAGGCTCTTGGTGGCCAGTTAGAGAAGGAATTAAATCCCTTCAGTCAGAGAGGGTCAGCGAATGTGTGTGTGCATGTGGTTCGCTATGACAATTTCCGTATAGTTCCCTCACCATGCCGACCATGTTCTGCCCATGCTGAGGTTTCTTGTCTATGTTGAACTGGTTAATGCTGTTGGGTTGACCCGCTTTGTTTTGGAGCTGAGGCCCAAGGGACTGTCCTCCGCACTGACCATACGAACTGCCGTAGGGTCCTGGAGCACCCATCATTCCCATCTGAGAGAAAAAAAACAAAAAAACAACAACAAAGAACTCTTAATCAAAAATGAAAATGAGCTAGTATATCAGTCTCAAGGGTTTCAATTATGACAGAATCTGATCCATCATCCTGAACAGAATCATAAACCATCAAAGATGAGCTTAAAAAAAATTGAGAGAATGTTAACAGCAAAACAAGAAAATGATCAATAGATGAGAATCAATCTTTCAGCCTGTTCGACTCTCACGTTCTCATTGTTTCCTCACCGCATACGTATTAATGTCAGAGACACTGTGGTATCAATTCTGCAAAATAAACCTCAAAACAGCTGCTAAAAATCTAGAAGGACCCAGCAAAACAAAAAAAGAAAGTGTCATTCCCTCTTTTTTCTGCCCATTTCCTGCGGTCCAGGTTGTGCAATCGCCTGTGAATCAACAAAATGGTGCACACAGTTCCTCGCATGAGGGAGTAGAGAAGGTTTTTTAAACTCAGGTCAGTTTTGGTGTGAACGATCACATCACTGAACGTCTCATTCAAACCAAAGAAACACCACAAGATCTTTATTCTTTCACTTGAATAGTCTATTTCACTACCTGATTTCTACAACAGTCTTACTAGACAAAAACTGAACAAAAGGTTGTGTTTTTAAAGGAGGGGAATAGTGTGCTGTCATAAGAACATAAGTCATCAGATTTGTCTGATCCGACGATGAAAAAAAATGAATTTTCAGAATTTCGTTTTTAAACCAAGCAACCAACGATAAAAACGAGTCGTTTTATTCAAGTTATAAAGTTTGAAAATAAGAAAACGTGGCCTTTAAAAGTCATAAATCCTGAGAACGTTCTTATTTGACCTTTAATTTCTAATATTAGCTTCTCTCTAAAGCAACTTGAGCATAAAGTGTGGGCCCGGGACTGATAGGTGTGTGACAGCATCAGAACATTCATTGTGCTTTTTGTTCTCTCCATAAAATAGTTTGACAACTGTTGAAACAGGAAGTTGGGACAGAAGGGCTTAAAAGGGCTTGCACTTTTTGTAAAAATAAATAAATTAATTAATTAAAAAAATTAAAACGTGCCAATGGTCTTTATTTATTAATTTCATTGGGTCTTTTTCAATTTGTCTAATGAAATGCAACACTCATGTTTGTTTAAAATAATATTAAATTAATTCAAATTTAATAAATATTTATTGTAATTAATAATGAGATCAAAATTAAATATAATCTATATATACACACTACTGTTCAAAAGTTGGCGGTAAAAGGGGGCGGTACGATTTTTATACGTTTGAGTTTCTTATGCTCACCAAAGTTGCATTTATTTGATCAAATATACAGTGAAAACAGTAACATTGTGAAATATTAAAATTTTAAATAACTGTTTTTCATTTTTATATATTTTAAAATGTAAAATATTCCTCTGACGGCAAAGCTGAATTTTCAGCATCATTACTCAAGTCTTCAGCGTCACATGATACTTCAGAAATCATTCTAATATGCTGATTTGCTGCTCACAAAACATTTCATATTATTACAAATGTTGAAATCAGTTGTGCTGCATAATATTTTTGAGGAAACGTGATACTTTTTTTTTTTCAGAATTCTTGAACAAAGTTCAAAAGAACAGCATTTATTTTAAATCGCCACCTTGGAATTATATGGTTCTGCCTGTATTCTGAGAAGTCTGGAGATATTGAGCTTCAAAGTTTTTGCATTCCATATAGATAGAATCTTTTTGTTTTTTGTTTTAATAAAAAGTCCCGAAATTTACACAACACAATGTACACACACACAAAAAAAAAAAAATCACATCATGTAAATAAGTTGTTACAGAATAAGAATATGTGAATAACTCAATTTTGACAAAAATGTCAGATAGAAGAACCCTATAATAACATTACATTACAACATTATATTACATTTAGTTTAATCCTTGATGAAAAAAAATTTGATTTAAAAAAAAAAAAAATCTTACTGACCCCAAATTAAATAGCTCTTTCACACAAAACACATCAGTTCATAGATGCATAATGAGATCTAAAACATAAATTCAAGTTAACCTTAAAGCTTGAAGCAAAACCCTTTTGCAAGTACATGAATGCATTTTAAACTGTACAAACACATTACCTTGTTCACTGCTCCTGGTTGCTGCGGTCTCATTGCTGCCTGTGCCGTCTGCTGCAGAGCATCGGGCAGCATGTTCCCGTTACCAACCATGCCTGCATTCATGTTCACATTGGCGTAGCCCATTCTAGGCGCACCATTCATCATCTGCCCTCCCATCATGCTCTGCGGCTGTCCGTTCCCTTTCTGGGCGCCCATCATGCCCCGGTTCAGTCCCGCCACCATGCCAGGCTGCGGCATCATGCCAGGCTGCTGCTGTTGAGGGCCACCCAGTCCCTGAGTAACCGGGGTGCCGCTCAGACCTCCCATCATCCCCAAGGAGGGCACATTACCGGGGTTGCCGGCGGCCGTGGAGGTGGATGGAGGGCCGCCAGGGCGGAGGAGCTCAGACAGGTGCTTGTGTTTGGCTGCTGTGTCCTGGCCCGAGCCTCCCAGAGGGCCCGACATCCCTCCTCCACCCAGACTGGTGTGTAACTGGCTGGGGTCCATCCCGTTAGGAAGGCCCAGGTCGGAGGAGTTAATGAGCTCGTCTGGGAGGTCATGCTCCAGGTCAAATAGAGAGCCAAAATCTGAAAGAAAAGGGAAAAGAGATTTTTAATCAGGTTGTTGCTCACAGAAAAATCACTCATAATGAAGTACATCAGAGAATAATTATAGTATGCCCAAAAAACAAGACGTATCCAGCAAAGCCACAGCAAAAGAAACCATATTTTACCCAAGTTGCCAGTTTTTAAATGGTTGAATTGGTTGGTTGGTGTTTTAACGCCATGCCAGCTTCCTTGGTGGATAACAAGTTGAAATAGCATAAAAGAGCCATTTCAAATCCTAGGCTATATAAGGTTTTTAAAGTTTGCTGGAGATAAAAACTTGAGTTTTTAGAAAGAATTTAATCTGATGAGATAAAGTAATACTAAAACACAACAAGTGCACAACACGTCTGTAATTTCAATACATCGGGAGGTTAGTTGGCCTCCTCAATGCATGGGTTGATCCATCACTCTACAGCAAGAAATCTAGACAAATTGACCAAAGCGTGGCAGAACGAATCTCGTGCAACAGTTTACTGCAGCTCCCGTGATGAGAGAAAGACTGAGATTATCGGCTCACAGGAGAGCAGTATGCAGTACAGCCGGTGTGCATGTCCTAATGGTTCATACTAATAAAAAACACATGGCATAGCAATGGACAAGCGGCGGGACAAAATGGGAGGTGGGTTTCCTACATAATGGCAGGTCCTGATAACAGCAACACACCAACGACTAATAAACGCAAAATACTCTAAATATGAAGCAAGCAAGCTTTTGAGTGCAGTCTTCACATTAGTGATAGATCGATATATCAGCCAAGCAATTAATCAGACAGTATTTGGATTTGAATTTAAGATTATGGTGATAGACCAACAACCGAACACGCTTGGCTGATTTACAGAAGTGCTTTTCACACTTTTTTTCTGTTTTGAAGTCTGCATACAACCCTTCTTGTGCATAGATGAGAGTGCCGCTCCCTTCATTTTTATTTCATTTTATATTTAAAGGAGAATTTTGAAATGCATGCACATTTTTAAGAGACGCAAATGAGAAAAGTGACAGCATTCAGCCAATTTTATGCTTAAACATTTTTTGGCATGTTTTTTTTTCTTTTATTTACATTATAGAATATTTCTAAAAATGAAAAAAAAAAATTTTTTACGACAAATATTCTGAATATTAAAATAACGTTCTTACGGCTGGTTTATGGGTATCTTTAGGTAACTGCAGATAAAATTAAAAAAAAGGGATTTAATTCAAAGTATTGGTTGTACAAACATGAATTTCTTATTGCCTAGATGACAACACAAACAATGGCACAACTTACCCCAATTTCCCCTACCTTGTTTACAGTTATCCAGTTTTTTTGACTGAAATAAATATTGTATGAAACAAAGTGCTGATTCAAATTCATCCTATTTGCTATTATTAAATTATACATTAAATTATACCATCTGTTACGTTGATATCAGCATCAGCCATTTAAAAACCTGTACTGGAGGACCACTAGAGTTCAGACAATACGACCTGGCTTTCACTTCTAGACACGCTGCAAAAAAAGCTGCTTAAACCAGTCCAGAAAGGTTTGCTGGTCTTAACCGGTCAAGCTGGTTTTAGAAGGGTCTTGGACACTTTTCATCTAGTCAAACAGGAAGCCATATTAAGCTAGTTAAAATATAGAGAAACCAGACGAATAAAGTAGCATCTACTGCTTAGTGTTTATCAGAAACTTGCACGCACTGGTTTGTCAACTATTAAGTACGCACTACATGTAAACCAACTTGAAAAGAAGCACTTCTGGCGTCCCAAAGTGCTCTAGACTTCACTACCAACCGTGTGTCAGTAAAACGACGTGATTTATAACATGTTCCTGTCGAGTATTTCTTTTCCTGACAAGCTCGAAATGCATCACCTAATAAACCTTTGACACCAACCCCAGCTCTCGACATCTCATAACGACGAACAAAGCGAAAAGTTTCTGTAACGCACACCCGGAAAAACACTGCATACTATTTTGCACACTCAGATGACCACACACAAACAGTATTGTAACACACCTCGTCAACTTCAAATGAAAACACGGAGCAAATTAGCCTGCTAGCTATCCTGCTAAGTTATTTAAATACCGGGGGACGATGCAAGCAAACAAAAACAACGAAAGAAAGCTCTTAAAAACACACGTCGAATGTCTTTTTTTTCCATACATGCACGCGAGCAGCGGCAGTGTGCAGGCGCGAGACTCGCCGCACACCGCAGCGCGTGAAACATTATTATTTACCGTTTCCATCGCTCGCGGAGACCGACAGAGCCGGGGAAGACAATTTAGGCCTCTTAGCTGAAGGCGGACCGGATTCCAGCACATTATCGGCCATAGTTTTCCTCCGGTTTAGTGTTAAAGCATATATCCCGCGTAGGATAGCCCTTCCTGTGCAGTCGCGAGCCGATGTGCAAATGAAATCTCTCCTCGTTCACGAGCTCCGGACGGATTCCCGTTTCCCTTTCATGGGACGATACATGCATGCAATGCAATGCTTCAATGTTCAGTCCACCTTTAATGCTCCCTTTTAAGATGTTCTAGTCTTTAGTTCCTCAAAGTATATTTCCGAATGGAGGAGGTGAAGGGAGGGACAGACGGTCATGCAAGCTCGCCGCAAACTCACGTAGCCTCCTCGGCGACTGAGCAATTTTCCCGAGATTTATCCTCGCTGCTTGCATCCGTCTTTTCCGCCATTGTCGGCGGCGAGCTGAAGTGTTAGGTTTTTTTTTTAAGGCGTTGTGTACGAGAAACCGAACTCGCTCCGGTGCGGCTTCATGCAATGTTTATGAGCAAACACTAAGATTCAGAATTATGTCTCTTCGCATATTAGCATGTGCAATTCTCAGCCTGCATCACTTTATTTAGAAGATTAAAAGTCCATCATGCTCCTTAAAATCGACACAGATGTTTGCACCTCCTTCATCGATGTCTCTATTTCCTCCCAAGTCATTAAGATGGATGGAGAGAACAAATAAATACTTGGAAATGGGAATAGAATTAAACAACCATATGCACGTAAAAGTTTCCTTTCATCCTCATTGCAGAATAAATAACACGATAAATGTGCATCCAAGAACTGTAATGACTTCAGTTTGCATGCACGAGCTACCACTTTAGATGATTCCAAGCAACTTGCATATTTCAGCGTCCGTGTCTTAGTATTTTGCAACAATACTTCAAAGTGACAAGTTAAATGGTTTATTGTGCATTCACATCTGAATATGGCTCGTGCGCCCTCTGTGTGAATGTGTCCACTGCACGAGTTCAAAGTGTTTGCAGAAAACCTCTGACCATTGCTTCACGAGACCACCCTGCACTGCGCACAGCTCGTGCGTGCAAAACGCAAAGAAATGATTTCAAAAGTGTCTGTCTAATGGACAGAACATCTACGCAATCGGTAGTTCGTCTGAAGTGCAAGATGTTGTCTCGCAGTCCGCTGTGCACGGGCTAAAGAATGGGAATCAAGTGAAGTTGGTCAATGCATATGCGTCTATTTCAATGCACTGACACATCAAGCAAATAAGAATAATTTGTCACTGCACGAAGAGCCTTGCGGAGCATTAAGAAAGAGCAAGAGGAACAGCAGTGGGTCGAAAACCGAATGAACCGAAACGACGTGTGCTTCAGTAATATTTCGGCGCTGAAGCATCTGCCGATCCGGGTGATATTGCCAGCTGCACCCCCCAAAATCTGGGGGTCCTCAAACCCCCTTCATAGGCTTTGTGATGCCGTGAACCCCCCTGCGCGTTCATCCCTTTTAAATTTCTCCCTTCTCTTGCACAGTTCCTGCAATTTTTCCCACTTTCGCTGTCGTCCGCCAGCAACCGGCGATGCAATTTAACAGTTATTCCCACTTCGTGACGCTGTTATTTTCCTTTTCCCCTGACGAGCTTCCCTTCGTTTAAATGTATTGCTCTCTTCCGCCTCTTCGCTTCGTTTAAAAAAAGATCAGTAAAAGAAAGGAAAAACCAGTCCGCTCTTTGATTTCCACACGGCAGAATCTATAATCTCCCTCCGCTAATCGCCCGGGTTGTGTTTTATCCGGTTTGGATCCGCGAGGACCGAGCCGGCGGCGCTCAGAGTCGCAGTGGTCGTCGCGCGAGTGTCTTTTTTTCGGTCGCTCCTGCCTCCTTCACTCTCTCAGCACAAACAAAATGGCGGCTTGTTGTTTCTACTCCTCTGGCTGGGGGGAGGGAAGGTTGGAGGTGCGGTAGCATTAGTAAAGGGGGGGTGGAGGGGGAGATGGCGATCTGGATTTCCCGGACAGTGCTGTTTCCGTACTGTTTCGGAGCTGCGACTGTTCTGGGCGGGTGCGAGACGCGGTCCAGCATCATCAGATGATGGACTCACTAGTAGTGAAATGATGCCTACCTGGTGACTTGCTTTGCAAAATATTGCTTCACTTGGCTTCGCTAGCTGGAGGTAGAGTCAGCCTCCTCGGAGAAACCGAGGGGTCAGGTGCCCTATTGAAGTGCGATAGTGATAGAGTCAAGAACAAGCAGTGACTTTTTTTTTTTTTTTTTGCCCTTGTACCGCCAAACTAGAG